AACACGAAAGTAACCCCCCCCCCCCCCCCCATGACCTCCAATAGAGGTTCTTTGATGATAAAGATCAGTATTTATAGTGATACATTTCTATAAAAACAAGAACAAATCACTATCTTATGATTCCCCTAATTTGATCCCTAATTTTAAAGGAAAGGCATTGTACCATAGAAAACTTTACTCATAAGCCTTGATTTTAAGGGAATCTTATTCTTCTAATCCACATGATCAAGGACTAATAACTGTTGGCAACTGTGATTCTCAAAAAAGTACCTATTCCAGAAAGATTTCAGGTATTGATAGTCTGAGATTCTAGATGAACAAGAAGCAAGGATGGTTTCACATTATTTAGAACATCATCAACAAATCAAATGACACCACATTGGCATATATGGACTGATTGTGATAATAAACTTTTATGTCTTGAATGTTGTATATTACAGGAGCCAAACGTTTTCCAGGCTTCAATAAAACAACAGGAGTTTTCCTGGCTTCTTATAGACTTGTAATAGACTTGTTTATTCTATTTCAACAGAATACACAGTATCTTTTTCTTTTCCTAGAGGTGCCTCAGGTATGTCCTCTGAAGAACCCTTTAGGTGAAACATGTCAGGGCCGGGTGACATGTCTTTGTGAACACCCCTTTCCTGACCATGTTTATATGCTGGGCCCATTGGATACAGATTGTTTGGCTATGATTTTTCTGGTGAATCATGCAACGCTTGCACCCCATGCTTGGGTGCAATATCCTCTTGTGCAAATGCTTGGATGCTGAATCCATCTGATATATGCTGCTTGGTTACACGCCTACTGTGGATTATGTGATGGGAGTGACAATCTTTAGAGATGGGTGAGATTCTTTGTTTTTCTGCATGATATTTTACTCCAACATATACTAGCTCTCATCAACCCCATCAAGCCACTTAATTTGCCTGCAGTATGGACTGTATTTTACCTGGTTATGGCAGGATTACTACTTATATTACATACAGGATTTCATACTAACATGCATTGTTTATGCAGGCTCCTCCTAATACCTACATGATTATATGGCATATGGGACTGCTTCTTACCCAAGTAGAGACACACGCTGCATCCAATGTTGTATTATAACATTCTATTTTCCAGATGAAAAATGAAATATCAAAGACAAGTACTAGAGTGTATAATTTGCTTGCAGCAGCAGGGTTATATTACATTAGTCCAAGCATTCATTACCCAGCTGATGCCAGATATTTATGGGCATAGACATTTCTGGATTTAACCATTCATGGAATATCCAAGCACTACAATCGTTCTATGTAGTTATGGCCAGCAGATTGTTTCAGCAACACAAAAATAATTTGTTTCTCAGTGGTTCTGATCCAAGTGAATTACAGTTGTTGCAAGCTTTACATTTATATAGACTCTTGTCTGCCCTAGGAACTGCCTGCTAGTTTTTGCAGTGATAGCAAATTAAATGTAAGGCCTCATTCATACTATGCGATTCGGAATTCCTGCCACATGAACCTACGGATTCCTGTGGCAGGAATACCATATCTCCCATTTAGATGCAGCCACTGTTCAAGTGACAGCAGCTGCATCTGTAAGTGGCAGTCTGCATGAAATAGTATGTGATATGATTACATGTGGCTTGGGATAGATCACCATTTCTAAACACATGATAGATGTGCCGAGGGACAGCGATCTATTCCAAACGGCATGTAATCGTATCACATACACTTACAGATGCGGCTGCTGCCACCAGGACAGTGACTTGAATAGGTGATGGCGACTGCATCAAAACGGGAGATTTGGTATTCATGATGTAGTAATCCGTGGGTACCTGTCCAAGGAATCTCATATCACAGAGTATGAATGTACCTTGAGGCCTAGCACTTTATTAGTAGTTTGGTTAGTTAATGTTCTACCAACCAGTACAGTTTTATTGTTTAGTAGCAGTTTCAAAACCCCAAAAGTGACTATGGGATTTCTCACATTAACTAGGACATGACTGTAAACTCACCTCTTGCATGTCTTCTAAATGTTTTTATATTGAATGAAAGTCACATACACTTGTGTCACTTTGCAGAAGAAAGACTACAGCCAACATTTACATAAGTAGAAAAAAAAGAAAATGTGAATAAAATTGTGACCCATCAGAATCCTTGTTTAATTTTCCCAGAGAATAAATGAATAAAGCTGATTGGTTACTATTGGCAATATAGATTCAATGGTTTGTTCCAATCACTACAGTCCACTATTATTTAATATGTAGATAATGATCATGTCTACTCTTTATAGCCTCTTCTCTAAGGTTAACAAATTCAATTTACTTAACATGCCTCATAGCTGTGGTCCCCTAGCCCCCTTATTGATTTTGTTGCAACACACATGCCATGCATTGTGGTGTTCTGCATTAGAAAAAAAGGATCCTGTATGGTTTTCAGGCTTTTTCTTTGCATTGGCAGTCCATTCATAATGAATGAGCTGCATTAATGCAACTCATATTAACATGCAACATAACACACATTAATGTGTGTGCATCAGTGCACTGTAATAGCCCTTTTAACTATGAATGTACTCCATAAGGCTGGCCATACACTGCTCTATTTTTCTCAATCAACCCGTGGGCTGAACGAGAAAAACAGAGCAGATTCCTCCATCAACACTAAGGAGTGTGTCAATCGTGGAATCCCGCTGTTTGCATAGTATTCTGACAGCAGCCGCTGTACGAAGATTTTCCGGCCAGCTCCTTTGGTCAGCTGATCGTGAGATGCCAACCAAAAGGGTGCCGACCATGGTAAACACTGCTAATTTCGGGTAG